CGTACAACCCGTCGACGCGAAGATTCTATGCGACGTCGGGAAAGGATTTATTCTTCTCCTTCTGCGTCCCTGAATTTGCCGCGCTCGGCGGAATAATCCTAAACACGACGGAAGCCGTGTACACCGTTTATTCGGAAAGGATCAGAATTTTGTCAGTCTTGCTTCTGCTGATTGGTCTGATTCAATGCGTCTACAACGTCACTGCCGCGGTCGCGTTTTGGCTTGTGAAGTATGAACAGGCAGCTTTCTTAAACGATTTGGTGCGACAGGTAGAGAAATTGGAAGAAGGTGAGCCCCTTGAGATTGGAAATTGTTGTATGATTCGGGATATTCTCATCCTAATCTGGTTGATCTATTAAAAACGGGTCACTTTAGGGTCTGTTGAACTTCCTGTCAGTTCAAAGTTTTCAAAACGGTGTAAATTTTGAAAATAGGTAAAAAAAAATTGCAAGAACGGCTCAAACTCAAAATTCATACGAATTACGGCACCCACCAAATAATTTTGTAGGACAAAAAGGACACATTTTTAATTAATGAAACCAAGAAATTTATGACATTCTTAATATCCTCTCACTTAAGTTAATCTTACACAATGTATTTAGTAATCCATGAAGCCACAATTATCCTAAAGTAGCTTAATTTAAAAAATTTCTAAAGGTATGTGTGTATCATATTTAGGTTTTGGAAAACGTGTCCAAAAATGGGACACACTGACGATCATGTTATTCCAATTTATCGTCATATCTGCCACTCTGCCATTTCTTTTCTCCATGTTTGTCGCGTTCTTGACCGTCCACGACAAATACTATCACCTTCAGTACGCCGTGGTTGATTCAGTATGTCCAATGAACACGCACCTTTCTTGTAAATTGATCACTTTCATGGTATTGACGATCACTTATTCATACGTCGGGTTCCACTGCGCTGCCATCCTGGTCGGATCAATCGTAACGAGCGCGGTAGTTTTAAACATGCTGCTAGATTCGGTGCGGGACTTGGCTAAACTAAATCCCCGGCTGCGATCGATCCGAATGTATCAAAGGTAAACTTTCATGTTTACATACATAAATAAGTGCATGGTCCAATTACAGTAGTCTGATCTCCGTTCTGCCAGTGGTTTGGAATTTCACGGCCCTTCTCAAAACCTTAAAAAGTCGAGAGTCTAAATACATGGAGAATACAATATTCATTGGAAATTAGGGAAGTTTTCTGAAGAAATTAAATTTTTATCGGGGTCAATTACTTTATTTTTAGAAAAATGTAATTGGGAAATATTAAATTTCCTCACAAAACATATAATTTCGAATGAGTATTATATTTATGCTCGACTTTTTTCAGCTGTATAGGCCCTGAAAATCCCAACCACTGGAAGAACAGGTCAAATTAGGGAACGTCCATTTATTATTTGATCATTTTAGTTGGTGGGTGCCTTAGGTCCTCCAATCTTTCCTGTGTTAAAATTCCCTATCCCGTAATGTATATCTTGGGTGCTAGAATGTAGAATTTTCGATGACGTAATAAATATATGGGTGCATGTAATTATAAAATGTGTTTAATTGGCTTATGTTTTGATGAAAGATTTCGTATTATCTTCAAAACCGTGGAGAATATGACCACCTTCTTGGCCACGTTGATGCTCTCGATCGGATTTGGATTTACGGTAATGTGCAATTTCACCACGGTTCGAATGCTGGGTGTGATTCGGATGCCGTTCTATCTCTTCTTTCCCACCGCGGCCCTCGTGGCCATGGCGGCGATTGGAATCCTGCTCCCGTACGGGATCGCGAGCTGGGAGCGGAGCGGCAAGTTGTTGGCGGGGTGGAAGGTCAGGCTGAGGGTGAAAGGGGGCATCTTTTTAATGCGAAGATATTGCGAGAAGACGGTGAAAGGGCTGAGGCCCATTGGACTTCGGGCGGGAGGGGGGGAATTCAATTTCTTCGTGTTTAAAAAATCGACAAAATCAAGCTACTACGTGGCCGTAATGGATAAAACGATTGAAGCTTTGATGACATAAGGTGGCATTGTATGCCCAGTATGCGGGTCTTTAATTTGAATCATTGTGTCTCATCTTTCTCTTCTTTTATATATTCAAATGGCGATTTTGAAACTTATTCACCTTTGTGGGTTTTTCACAATATGAAGATTTTAATGCGCATAAAAATCGCTAATTTTTAGATTTACAAAGTTACGACTGTAAAATTTTGATTTTTTTCTTGCATGAGGACATAAATTTGAAATAGATGAAAAATAATCAGTAAAAACCAAATATTTTCTCATTTAAGAAAAATAAATCAAAATTCTAGACTCCTAACTTTGTAAGGCTAAAAATTAGCGATTTTTAGGTGCATTAAAATCTTCATATTTTAAAAAACCAAGGGAGATGAATAGGTTTCAAAATCCCCATTTGAATACATGGAAGAAGGGAAAGTTGAGACACATCAATTCAAACTCAAACCCCGCATACAAGTCCACGATAAGTTGTACACAGAGTAAGACAAGTGTAGGGTTGTTATTAAGATTGGTGTTTCGTTAATATGGTGGGTGTACTTGGACACAATTGATATACAATTTTCAGTAATATTTATGTACGGGTTAGAGCAATTATAATTTCTTTAGAACTTGTAGGTGCTTTTTTGTGTAAATCTTTACTCGGAAAATATGCATATTTGCACTGGCAGTTCAGTATTTCTGAACAAATAATTTTGAATGAACCTGAGATGTAGGAAGTATATGTCTTTAATTTTAAGTTTATGAACCGTACCTATATATGTTCTTATCTTAATATTGTGAACTTAGCTTGTTTCAGATAGCTTAATTAAATTATTTATGTATGTAGGATAAGGTCACATGACGTATCAAAATACGTATAAGTAATCAAATTCCTTAAGTGTATGTATATAAATAAGTTATGTAAACACAAAAGTCTTTCCCTGTACGTAAAAAAATATCACTTGAAATAAAAATTTATTCAACTCGTCGGTGCGTTCCTTGAAGCAGGTTTACATTTTTCTCATCAATAATTTATCAGAGGTTTAGAAAATTTTACTCCGTATTTATTCAAAGCAACTTGTTAAAGAAGTGAGCAGGGTCAAGGTCGGGGTCGGTCAAGGAATCAGGGTCAAGGTCAGGCTTGCTGAACTTCTCAGTCAAATACGGTTTACAACATGTGACCCTAGATTTGTGGGTCCATTCGTACACATCATCATCACTATCACTACTCGGACAAAAATTAGATATCGACGAAACTAATTTTACTTTTCCATTTTAACGAGAAAATAATTTCCGTGCAGAAATTTTTAATTTTTGTGCTTATCTGAACCCGTTATCAAGGGATCAAGATAACCACTAAATATGTCAGATTTCAGTCATACTCATTTTACTTTTCCATTTTAACGAGAAAATAATTTCCGTGCAGAAATTTTTAATTTTTGTGCTTATCTGAACCCGTTATCAAGGGATCAAGATAACCATCTGCATCTTACATTAATATATTGCTACATTTTATTAACATATTTCACACATGGTTTGCTCACTATAATTATCTAAATTATGTATATTAATTATATGAATTGCAAATATATTTTATAAAATTGATAAAAATGAGTATGAATGAAATCTGACATATTTAGTGGTTATCTTGATCCCTTGATAACGACTTCAGATAAGCATAAAAATTAAAAATTATTGCACGGAAATTATTTTCTTGTTAAAATGGAAAAGCAAAATGAGTATGAATGAAATCTGAAATATTTAGTGTTATCTTGATCCCTTGATAACGACTTAAGATAAGCACAAAAATTAAAAATTTGTACACGGAAATTATTTTGTTATTAAAATGAGAAAGTAAAATGAGTATGAATGAAATCTGACATATTTAGTGGTTATCTTGATCCCTTGATAACGGGTTCAGATAAGCACGAAAATTAAAAATTTCTGCACGGAAATTATTTTCTCGTTAAAATGGAAAAGTAAAATTAATTTCGTCGATATCTAATTTTTGTCCGATTAGTGATAGTTGATGATGATGTGTACGAATGGACCCACAAATCTAGGGTCGATTTTTCACATGTTGTAAACCGTATTTGACTGAGAAGTTCAGCAAGCCTGGTCAAGGTCCTTACCTGGGACATAGATATTATCCGCAACTGACTGAATTTTCATTAAATTTGTCCTTTATCGAGTTCCGGTTTCAACGCCCAAGTAGAAATTGCTGGAATTCTGCTGTACTCGACAAAAATGCCATACATACATATTTTATTCTGCATATTTAGTTTTTACATATTAATAATGCAGAAAATTTCCATGGGTATTATTCCCCACCCACGTGGCTTCCTGTGAAACAAGCTTTTATCAACTTTTTATCATGCAAATTTATAAATCTGGCTGGTCTCCATGCATTTTTTTCATTGAAAGTTTTCATGCATTTTTTCATTGAAAGTTTTCATGCATTTTTTCATTGAAAGTTTTCATGCATTTTTTCATTGAAAGTTTTCATGCATTTTTTCATTGAAAGTTTTCATGCATTTTTCATTGAAAGTTTTCATGCATTTTTTCATTGAAAGTTTTCATGCATTTTTTCATTGAAAGTTTTCATGCATTTTTTCATTGAAAGTTTTCATGCATTTTTTCATTGAAAGTTTTCATGCATTTTTTCATTAAAAGTTTTCATGCATTTTTTCATTGAAAGTTTTCATGCATTTTTTCATTGAAAGTTTTCATGCATTTTTTATTAAAAGTTTTCATGCACTTTTTCATTAAAAGTTTTCACGCATTTTTTTTCGTTAAGAGATTTCATGCATTTTTCATTAAAACTTTTCATGCATTTTTTCATGGAAAGCCTTTTTACGCTTTTTGTTTTCATGAAAACTGTTTTCCATGAAACTTTTCAGTTTCCATGCAATTCGTTTTCATGAAAAGCTTGCATGAATTGGGCGACGACCAGTTTTGAGAAACAAAGTCTATGGCGCGATCCATTTGACACTTTCACTACTCATCCTCAACTCACATCATCATAAGTTGTTTTGATATTTAAAGTTTCCATAAATATCAAAGTTTCCTTGTAATAAAAGAAGTATTTCTATTCACCTCCTCCATGAGGTAAAAAAATTAAGGCTGGTGGCCCTTAACCCAACAAAGCGGCGGACAAAAGCAAAAAGCAACGTTAATGAGGTCACAGAAAGTTTCTTAATTTTGCAGAGTTATCAACAAACAACGTAAGTTTTTCATGAATTTATTCAATTAAAATAATTAATTTTCTGATCATACCTGCAGACATATTTATGTATTACGTACGTATTTACATAAATGGAAATTTAATCTAAATAATTTAAACGATGCTAAATTTTTAGTGCAGACTCTCCACTTTTCTCCTTGGTTTGACGAAGAACTGGAGTCTCTTCGCTCCTCCCATTTTTGAATCGGTACGAATCTAAATAACTCCATTTGTGCTATAAAGTTGTTCGTTTTTAAGTGATTCCTTACTGATTAAGGAATATTTTATTAGATTATAATTGAAAATTTAAAAAATATATGCATTTATATTTAAATCACAAAATCTCTATTGTCACTTAAAATAGGTCAGGATGTCCTGCTTCCTCTGCTCTCAAGTTCTGCCCACACCCATCCCGTCGACAGCCTCCTTGGATAATAACGAAACCAGAAAAATAGTACCAATCTCGCTCCTGCTGGAATTGCTGTCGTCGTCGTCGTCACCATGTTCGCCAACAATGTGTCGTCGTCGCAGGAAAATTACTCCACCCTTTGGCAAGAATTTGGACAGCTGTGAATTTTGTCTAGATTGTGCCCCCATGATAAGCGAGATGGAAGAAATCCGGCACAAGATGTCCATCCTGGAGGGACAGATGGGGCAGAAAATTTCGAAAATTCAAGACACCCTGGCGAATTCTATATCCGTAGGGGGACAAAGTGGGGACCAGATTATGCAGCTGAGGACAAGTATACTCAACATGATGATGGGTTGAGTGAAATTTTATTGTACTTTGGATTTAGGGGTTGTCCATAAATTTGGTAACGCCAAACGCGATTTTTTAGCCTCACTTTAACATGGCAACATAGGCAAAATATCATATGCTGGAGCCTTAAGCCCTCCCACTCGCATTACATAATTTATGAATTGCCCCTTACTTTATTAATCTATATTATAAGCTGCTGGGAATGCAACGGAAATAAAAGTAATTTTCCGTTTCACTTCCCTCGCCAAGAGGCATATATTATATAATAAAAAATGATTCCCTGGAATTATGAACACTCTTACTTAATTTTCACAAAAATCAAATAAGCTCTCGCCCCGTGGGGGACGGGCTTATACACTAGTAATAATTATCAATAAATTTATTTTGATATTCATACTTAGGAGAGAATAATGAACAACGGGGGGACGGCCACATTGTGCTGGAAGACGTCCCCCCAATCAAAGTTGAAGCGGACGAGGGAAATCTGTTCCTTGATGAAAATTATGAAACTTTTGAGTACCCTGTTTCCTCCATGGATCACACTCATGGGGAGACTGACCCCTTGAAGTGTGAGGGTAGCGACGACGATGACGAGTCAGCCTTCTGCATCCAACCAGAACCCCGAAGGAGACCTGTCAAACCCAAAACTAGGCGGGGGCGACCTCCGGTCAAGGTCAAGGTCAATAAAGGTCAAGCAGTACGGTATGAAATTATAAAAATATATATTCAGAATTTTATTTTCTAACTTTTTGGTTTTCATCCTCATCTAATAAATTTATTTTATTTGTGACACTAGAAAGGAAAAAAGTTTCTCTTGGGGTCAAATCCAAAGAAAACAATAATTCCCCTCTTGACCGAAAACGTTGTTCAAATCGTCCCAAAAAGAAAGTTGTTCTTCAAAAAGTTGCTGTCAAAACGACCTCCAAAAATGTTAAAAAGATTAAAAACCGAAAAATTCTAATTTGTCCCTCTCCCTACTGCGAGAAATCCTTCGTCGCCGAGTACACGCTGAACTATCATATCGCCCGACATCACCACATTCCTTGTCCCGAGTCCGGTTGTTCCGCCAAGTTTGGCTCTGAGAAGGAAAAAAGGGCCCACATTAAGGACGCCCATGGAACCAAGGTCGCCCCCAAGACGTCGTCCCACCCCGACCACGACCACGTGTGTCACATTTGCAGGAAAAAATTCATAAGTAACGACTCCCTCAGGTCACATGTTCGAAGAAGGCACGATGAATCGAAACGTCCCCAGTGTGAAACGTGTGGAGAAAAGTTTTTGCATGAAAGTACTCTCCAATCTCATCGTGTCAGAGAACATGGGGCTGACCATTTGGTGTGCGAGGAGTGGTATGTAAATAATTCTTTTCTATCAAAATTTTGGGGAATTACGTAAAATTTATTTTTTACAATTTGAAATCGCAGTGGAGCAATTTTCTCGTCTCAGCTAGGATTACGACAACACAAGTGGAGACACTCGGGGATAAAGCCGCACAAATGTGAGGTAAGCTAAGGCTAAGTTGCAATAGTAATTAATTTTGGATACCGTGATTATGAAGAGGTTGCAAAAAATGTGCAAAAATCATTTCCTACCTGTAAGGATTCTGAATTTTCGAAAATGATTACGGGAGGGAAATGTTTGCGGCGCAATCTTTTTACCGTTGGAGAAATTGTCGTGAAAAATGATTTTTTAACGCCATTTTTAATTGCGAAAATATTTCGAAAAATATATCATCTTTTCCGTCAAGAAAATATTGTCATTTTTTCAGCAATGTGGCGCCTCCTTTTCCATCAAGAGAGACCTCGACCTTCACTTGTCGTCTCACTCAAGCCAGCGGCAAGACCCGTGCCTCCACTGCGACCTCGTGTTCAAGAACAAGGAACAAGTCCGCGCGCACGTGAAGCGGATCCACACCGTCGGCTATGTCACGCCCACCCCGCACAAATGCGCCCAATGTGGAAAATCCTTCCAGTACCCGGTCCACCTGAGGGCGCACGTGCTCCAAGTGCACACGGGAGAGCGGCCCTTCATCTGCGCCCAGTGTGGAAAGGGCTTTGCGAGCAAGTCCCTGTTATCTGTGCACTTGAAGAGGAAATGTGGTGGTGATGTCGTCCCTGTGAAGAAAGATAGGCTCCCGAGGTCGAAGAGGGACTCGTTTCAGGAGGAAGAAGTGGATTGCTAATTTGTTTAATTAGTGTATTTTGCAGTGTTTAATGTGGTTTTTACCATCCCTTTTTCCTACAATAAAAAGTTATCCATGTAAACCTCATTGTATGAATGCATACATATGTATTTTGGCGATATGATTAAACACTTTGCATACATATTTCGGGGTTTTTTCCAACATATTTAGCCGGACTCTGATAAGCACTGGTGGGCTAGTATTTTTCAACTGGTCAGATTGTTTGCGGGGCCATGTCACCAATTTTACTAAATTTTTTACCATAAAATGCATATGCTCAGCAGCGACACTTATCGTATTCAGAAAAAAAATTGGTCAAACCCCACCCCCATAAATAATTAATTAGTGATTATATCATAATATTACAATGCACAATAACTAGCCACAAAAAAGAGTTACGTCAAAACACTCGATTCATCTACCATAGCTATATTTCTGAGGAAATTTTTGCGACCAATTTTGAGTAGGTATTTCAAAATTTAGGGGTGTAACTGGGTTAACTATGACCTTAAAAAAATCTATATGCCAGGATCGGGGCCATTTAGGTTGCGATCTATATAAATAGGTCTTTAAAAGTTGAATATCATCGACGTTTTTTCAACCTGGCCCCGATCCTGGCATAACGAGATAAACGAGGTCAAAGTTTCGGGGGTGGGGTCGCAAAACAGGGGCGTACTGTTATTTACTATTTAGGAATTTAATTGCAGTTAAATTCCACAATATTATTTTGAGAGAGTTGAGATGTTGCACGTGGAAATAATCCCGGTTAAACATTATGCCTGCCGGCCCTGACGAGTTTTTGAGATTTGTGAGGTGTTGCAACATACCTCTCTTCTCTTGGTTGAGAGAGTGGAGTGGCAGAGTTAACCTGCGTGAGACGGCAACACCTTCTCGTCGACTCACCACTCACCCACAACTATGACTTTCAGTTTCTCTGATCACTTGAAAAATACTAGCCCTGGTACATAGAAGAATTTGTGTCATTTACAGAGACCGTCTTCGACATGTTACAATAACATGTTGTCTCTGTGAGTAGCGTAAACATTGTTACTCACAGAAAATGAGAATCAGGTAAAAAAATTGAATTAATTTTAAATCATCAATGGGAACTTGGATCATGCATATTAATAAGATGAGTACAATAGTTTTAATTGTGAATGAAATGAACGAAGTGCACAAAATTTCATATAAGTACTTTCAGAATTGTCGAGTAAAAACGATTAGAGTATTTCAATTGCATCATTTTCGACACGGTTTTGCTAATTAAAACTTTTAGTTAACAAAACCGTGTCGGATAAAATATTTTTATACATAACCCTTTTAATTTATATTGGTTATAAAAATATTTAGTAGTTACATACATACCATTTTATCTCCCTAAATATGTAAGCAGGGTTTATAAACGTCATCAAATTTTTGGGTCAATTAATTTAGATTCCTGTAAGTATGCAAGCAACGATATTGCTTATTGATATTGGGATATTGTGGACATTCTAGATTAAAAATTAAAATTTGACTTTCAACAAGGTGATTAAAATAAATATTAATATTATCATCAAGCTACTTAATGAAGGTAGTTGAGACGATTAATTAATTTTCTTTGAATATGCTGATCAAACTCTACAGTTAAATTGTGATATTGTCTATCATAATTTGAAATGATTTAATTTTTTCCATTTTTTATAGTTTATTGCTTCTGAATTGATTTTAGACATTTATTAATGCAACGTTTCCTCTAAAAGCAACTACTATTTACTTTATCCAGTAAATCGTCGGACAAATGGAACATGTGCTTGCTAAAGTCTTAGCGGAGTAATTACAATAAAAATTAAAGCTTTTAGCAGCAACCAGTTGCGTCTTCGCGAATTTTTCTCAGCTTCAAAAAGTTTACTTTCTTCCCTCTGCATTTCATTATAAATACACGCACACAGCGTTTGTTCAGATTTCATTTTGGTTGCAAAATATATGTACATACATACATATTTTATTACAATTAGACTTTTTTGATTGATTATTTTTCCATTTAATTACACATTATACGATTTACACTTTCCGACTGAAGTAATACATTGTCCTTAAACGAATAGTGTATAGTAAATTGCAAAATTTCAGGAAAATTTTCATTTTGTGCTAGTTGCGCATCGTAATTTCATACCTCACATCCGCAAATATGATTTGAGTTCCGTCACGTTATTCAGAATTTCATGTCATCAAACGATGTATGTATGCATGTACGTGTGAGATGATGTTGTACCGTGGGAATATTGGGTTCTCATGGTTTTGAGAGAAAACTTGGCAGGGAGCTTGTACTTGGCCAAAAGGTTCCAACGGTCGAGAAGTTGAGATACATACATAAACTCCATGCACAGTATTGAGATGGGCAGAAAGAGCGAGAGAAATCATACTTTACTCGCTCTTTTAGCATGAAACATATGTTATCATGCATCTCTCGCTGCTACCGTTCCATAACAATTTGCAGGAAAAAGCTGACTCAATTTGATTGCATTTAAGGTGAAATTGGATGACGACATTCCTAACACCCCTATTCAAGTTGGACTCGTCCCGCCCCATAAGCATGCATGTATAGTTTCAATTGTCATCATCTCCTTCATTTCTGCATCAAAATTAGTGAGGTGTGTTGCAATATGAGCTTAATTTATAGGTGAACAAACAAGTGTAGTTGAAATTTGCTAGAAATGAATTTGAGCTGAGATAAATCCTTTCTTAATTTATTAACCTAAGAAAGGATTTATCTCAGCTCAAATTCATTTCTAGCAAATTTCAACTACACTTGTTTGTTCACCTATAAATTAAGCTCATATTGCAACACATCTCACTAATTTTGATGCAGAAATGAATGAGATGATGACAATTGAAATAGTTTTTATTAATTTTTGTCGAGATTGGGGTAAGCTGACCCTGCCAAGCCCACGGCGGATAAGTCATAATACGTGAGTTTTACTTCATCACGAGGAAGGGGGAAACTCAAAGAGCAACGTTATTTGTAGTTTTACGTCATTTCGGACGGGCTGAGTTTTGTGTCCTCCCAAGACCGGTGAAAATAATAAAAAACGTGAGTTTTACTTCATCACGAGGAAGGGGCAGTTTATTGTCATGCCCAGGACTCATTATTGTTTCTTTATTTCTAGTTTTACGTCATTGCGGACGGGCTGAGTTTTACGTCGTCCCAAGACCCGTCACGATAATAAAAAAACGTGAGTTTTACTTCATCACGAGGAAGGGGCAGTTTATTGTGATACCCAGGACTCATTATTGTTTCTTTATTTCTAGTTTTACGTCATTGCGGACGGGCTGAGTTTTACGTCGTCCCAAGACCCGTCACGATAATAAAAAAACGTGAGTTTTACTTCATCACGAGGAAGGGGCAGTTTATTGTCATGCCCAGGACTCATTCTAGTTTCTTTATTTCTAGTTTTACGTCATTGCGGACGGGCTGAGTTTTACGTCGTCCCAAGACCCGTCACGGTAATAAAAAAACGTGAGTTTTACTTCATCACGAGGAAGGGGCAGTTTATTGTCATGCCCAGGACTCATTATTGTTTTTTTACTCGTAGATTTACGTCGTTCCGGACGGGCTGAGATTTTCGTCGTCATCATCATTATATATTTAGATTACCTATTTTTTGTGTATTTTTATTTATTTAGTTTTATGTTTATTTTAGTTTTGAATTTTGTCTATCGTGTATGTTAGTTATTTGTAGCAATGCCTCAAGTCTCAAAGTTCAGGCTTAGCCGAAAAGAGAATCATAGAAAAAAAAGTAAAACTATTGAAGCTACACGAGCATTAGAGGGGACAATTGAACCACAGGGGACAGTTGAACCACAGGGGACAATTGAACCACAGGGGACAATTGAGCCACAGCGTACAGTTGAAACAGAAGCAAGTATTGAATTTGAAGGGACAATTGAACCAAACGGAAGTATTGAATTAGGCGGGATAGTTGAATCAGATGGAACAATTCAATCAGATGGAAGAATTGATTTAGAGTTGACAGTTGAACCACAGAAGACAATTCAAAATTATCCATCGCCTGAATATTTAAAAAGCATTTCTGTAAAAAATGCTTCCGGAAGAAGAATTTTGTCTTTCAAAAGTCTAATCAATGGAATTACTGATATTTCAACTCACTCTTCAATTTGCCCGATCGCAGAAGTTTCCTTAGATTTGGAAAGACGTAATGGGTTATCTACTGAATTTGTGTTTAAGTGTGTCTGTGGATGGGTTGCTGTTATTTCTAGCGATTCGGATTGCAATACACTTACGATTAATGACAGTTTTGCATGGGGGTGTGAGTGCTCCCCCGTTGGCTTGACGGCAGCGACGTCATTACTAACAACAATGGACCTCCCAGTTCCAGACTATAGAACATTTAAGAAAGCAGAGGAAGAGTGCAAGGCCAAAATGGAGGATGCTTTTGTGCAAGAAATGAATGAGGCTTTGGCTCGAGAAAAGGAGCTGGCCATAGAAGAAAATAGTTTCGTTGTAGTTGAAGGCGTTCAATATGCTGCAATAACAGTATGTGTTGATGGTGGATGGTCAAAAAGGAGCTACGGTCACTCATACTCAGCTAACTGTGGGATTGGTGTAATAATCGGAATAAAAACAAAGAAAATAATATTTGCAGACACTCGATGTAGGACTTGTGTTGTATGCGATAAAGGTCGCGAAGAAAATGGGGACCATGATTGTCCAAAAAATTGGTTTGGTCCACCAACAGCAATGGAGTCTGATATTTTAAAAAAAGGGTTTTCAGAAAGTCGCGAGCACGGACTAGTTTATACTAAATTTATTGGCGATGGAGACTCTTCTGTACATGCAAACATTGAAAATATATACCCAGGTATTAAAGTAAAGAAAATTGAATGTAAAAATCACTTATACAAGAACCTAACAAAAAAATGTATGGCTTTAGCTATGAACAAGATAACAGGAAAAAATTCTCATAATATATCTCTAAATGAAAGACGCGATTTAAATAAACATTTGCATCGCATTCCCATTGCAATTAAAATGTCGGTAAAACATTACATGGAAAACAAGACAGTTAATTCTTGGAAAGATTTACAACAGGATATCCTTAATATTCCATTCCACATTTTTGGGCGTCATTTAAGATGCAAATCGTATTTTTGCGATCCTTCTAAAGCAGCTGAACCGGACACAGTGGCAAAAATGATGACCTGTAGTTTTTGGGAACCACTGCAATTAGCTCTTAGGAAAATAGCTAACGAGAGTTATAGTTTGATGGAAAACCAAACGAGCAACGTGTCAGAGAACTTCATGTCAGTTGCTAATAAATTCATGGAAGGCAAGCGAAAGAATTTGGGTCAGAAAGGACTATACAGACACAGAATTCTGGCTGCCGTGTTTTCCTATAACAATTGTTCATACTGGCCAACCAAAATCTATACAACACTTTTTAATAAACCTCCGTCTAGTCCATGGAGAAAAAAATATGCTGCTTCTGTTAGAGAAAGATGTCGAGCTAAAAAACCTAAAGCCGCACGAAAAATTGTATTTCCGGTGCCTAGTAATGCAAGAGGTGATAGCAACTACGGTACTAACCCAAGCAAGCCGGATCTGCCAGATGATGTGTTAGCTTGTGCAATAAGATCGCTCAAGAAATCCTTACAAGTTACCGAACCTCAGCAACAGGAGATCGAAGAGCAAACTAGAGGCCAGTCGGATAATTCAATGTGGCAATTGGAGAGAAGGAAGAGAATTACCGCATCAAACGCTCATTTAATCACCAAGCTTGGTAGGAAAACCGATAACACAGCCGCGCTAAATAAGCACTTTGGCAGACGAGTGTTTAAAAAATTGATACCACTCATGGAGTATGGAAAAAATAATGAAGTAAATGCCATAACACAATATGAGAAAGCAAAAGGCTTGGATCCCGGTTCAGTAAAAAAGTGTGGACTTTTTGTATATTCAAAAAATGGCATTTTTGCCGCATCACCAGATGGACTGCTCAACGAAGACGGTTTATTAGAAGTAAAATGTCCACCATCTATCCGTGATAAAGATCCGAAAGACTGGCCTATATTTTCGCCAAGAACAAGCTGCCTTGAAAACCGTGATGGGCAACTCCGGCTGAAGTGTTCTAATGCGTATTACTATCAGGTAGTAATGCAAATATACGTTACAAACCGTCAGTGGTGTGATTTCTTTGTTTGGACACCTGTTGGGTATCACCTAGAAAGGATCACCCGTAATGATGACACTGATAAATTATGGGAGATTATGCAGTTAAATATGGAATATTTCTGGGAAAATGATTTAGCACCAGAGCTTGTTGATTCAAGATTTGAACGGGGTTTCAACAACTATAGATGCCCTGAATCTAGGAAAGATGCGGTCGCGAAGAAAGCGAGTAAAAACGCACTGAACAGCGCACCCTCGAAAACCCAAGAGACAACAAAACGTAACTATAAGGGTCAACCAGTCGATAAGTTGGCTGATATTTAGAAACTCCAGCAAGATTCTCCCAAAAATCTCATTTTCTAATAAAGGTAGGTGGTACCAGCCCCTGTGCACTGTCTTTCTATTTCAAAACCCTTTTGTTTCATCGTCTCAAACTTTCATAAAATTTCAAGTTGTCCCATTACAGAAGAAATCATAATGATCTGCGATCAGGCCTTTCCAATTAATTAGCTAATTAAATAGCATTGTCTGTCTAATTACTAATTACTAATTAAAGTTAATTAGTAGAATACTACCTAATTAAAATTACTAATTAATTAGAATGATCGACAAACTAATTACTAATTAATTTGTTTTTTCTAAATAAAATTTTTTAATGCATATTTCTCGTTTAGCTCGTAAAAATTTTCGTGGCGGCTGCAAATATATTCGTGCTTTATCAACTTCAAAGCTTTTTTTAAACTTGTAGTTGTAACTTTAAACCTTTGTATTAAATTAAAACAACGAGATAGCAATATATTTTTGGTATGTTTTTGAATATAATGGACTCCCTTGCGCAGAAGCTTAAAAACTTGTTTGATAATATATGGCATATGGTATACTTTAAAAAAGTTGACAGCTACAAAGTAACAACTGCTTGTAAATTTTGTCCAAATAAAGCGATTACCGGCACAACTAAGGTCACCTCTAATTTCCACAGCCGTCTCAAGGTAGTGCGTAATTTGCAGAGTCCGGATAAATATGTTCTTAAAAACCCCGAAATATGTATGTAAAATGTTCAATCAAATCGCCAAAATATGTATACAAAACATATTTTCAATTCGCTCTAAATTGCTTCAAATTTAACTTATTTTACTGCAGAAACGAAAAAACAGCTTTCGCATTTCCTAATGACGAACTAACAGGGTTTCCACCTGCTCTGGTATTATTTCTACGATCATTGGAATTTTTTATGTATTGTGAATTTCTGAGGTTTCTCTAAAAGAATATATTTTTTTCGAAAAAATCGCTGAAATATGTAAAAACATATTTATGTGTATCAAAAATAATATAATTTTTTTTTAAATCGCCGAAATATGTAAAAACATATTTATGTGTATCAAAAAATGCATATTTTCTGCAAAATCGTCGAAATATGTTAAAACATATTTATATGTACCAAAACCTGAAAATACGTAAAATATGTGAAAACATTTTTTTGACCGTCTGACCTATGCCTGACCAGGAACAATATCCCAAAGTTTCAACCCGATCGGGTTATTATTGAAAAAGTTTAAAATACATACATAACCGGACTCTGGTAATTTGTTATAAATTTCAAAACAATTCGACATTTTTCATTCGCTGAAAGACGACTTATTCGAGATATCAGCCATGCTTAAATGTTGTAAAATTAATTCATCAAAAATTATGAATATGGTAAATTTAATTATTCAGTAATTAGAAGTAATTAATTAGATTTGCTTGTCACAAGTAATTACTAATTAAACAATTAATTAAATCAAAATTTTCGGAACTAATTACTAATTGCTAATTAATTAGAAAAGTGAATAATTAGAAAGCCCTGTCTGCGATAAATAACACTAATATGAAATAAATAATGATATGTAATAAATAGCAATAATATAAACAAATTAACTCCTTTATTCAAAAAATGTATATTGAAAATAACAATAATTAAAATTCCATGAGGAGCCGTTCTTCTTCTTCCTTGCTGATTTCAAGTGGAGGGGGCTGTTGTTGTTGATCCTGTGGTTGTTGTTGCTGATCCTGTGGTTGTTGTTGCTGATGTTGGGGAGGTGGGTGTCGCGGCCGCTGCTCCAACCACGACTCTAGCTCACGTGGGGGAGCACCACTCTCCAATTCCCGAAGACGTTGCATGAGCACAGGGTCCGCCCCACTGCTTTCGTGCTCTTGGTGGCCCGACCCGCGACCTCGGTGGACGAGGCCGCCATATCCGCGATCTCGGTGGACGTGGTCGCCATGCCCGCGACCTCGGTGGACGTGGCCGCCATATCCGCGACCTCGGTGGACGTGGCCGCCATATCCGCGACCTCGGTGGACGTGATCGCCATGCCCGCGACCTCGCTGGACGTGGTCGCCATATCCGCGACCTCGGTGGACGTGGTCGCCATATCTGCGACCTCGGTGGACGTGGTCGCCGTGCCCGCGACCTCGGTGCACGTGGTCGCCATATCCGCTACCTCGGTGGACGTGATCGCCATGCCCGCGACCTCGCTGGACGTGGTCGCCATATCCGCGACCTCGGTGGACGTGATCGCCATGCCCGCGACCTCGCTGGACGTGGTCGCCATATCCGCGACCTCGGTGGACGTGGTCGCCATATCTGCGACCTCGGTGGACGTGGTCGCCGTGCCCGCGACCTCGGTGGACGTGGTCGCCATGCCCGCGACCTCGGTGCACGTGGTCGCCATATCCGCGACCTCGGTGGACGTGATCGCCATGCCCGCGACCTCGCTGGACGTGGTTGCCATATCCGCGACCTGGGACTTGCTCCCTACATTGCTGGCGTTGCCGGCGACCCTGGCTGGACGGTCGACCTCTACCCCTACCCGCCTCGTATATGTTGACGGTGATCATCGTCCGGAACGACGTAAATCTACGAGTAAAAAAACAATAATGAGTCCTGGGCATGACAATAAACTGCCCCTTCCTCGTGATGAAGTAAAACTCACGTTTTTTATTATCGTGACGGGTCTTGGGACGACGTAAAACTCAGCCCGTCCGCAATGACGTAAAACTAGAAATAAAGAAACAATAATGAGTCCTGGGCATGACAATAAACTGCCCCTTCCTCGTGATGAAGTAAAACTCACGTTTTTTTATTATCGTGACGGGTCTTGGGACGACGTAAAACTCAGCCCGTCCGCAATGACGTAAAACTAGAAATAAAGAAACAATAATGAGTCCTGGGCATGACAATAAACTGCCCCTTCCTCGTGATGAAGTAAAACTCACGTTTTTTATTATTTTCACCGGTCTTGGGAGGACACAAAACTCAGCCCGTCCGAAATGACGTAAAACTACAAATAACGTTGCTCTTTGAGTTTCCCTCAAATTTTGGGCGGAACAGTACACTTTTTTGAGGGGTTTGGGGCAACACGCTACCATGTGCGGTTTAAATGGTGTAAGATGAACCTTAATCTGCTTTAATTCACAAAATTATAATTGTGTTGAATTAAAATCGTACTCAAATTATGTGCATTTAATTTTGCATTCACTCCAGATGTGAAATGAATCAATTATTTATACCTCCGTATCATGAACTTTTTCTTCATCGCGATAAAAGGAGGAGCGAAGTTGTCTGCCGAATACAGAATTCCTGAATCACCAGTGGGGTCAGGGGTTCCACAAAATTTGTCCCAAACTGGATTCTTAACGGTGCTAAAGACCTGCCAACTCTCTTATCCAGAACCGATCTGTTTTTTCCCTTGTATTTGGCAATCCAACCTCCACTCAACAGGATAACATTTCCCGCCACGGAAAACGCTATAAGACTCAACGTTACCGCGGCAAAGTATGCAGCGACGAACAAACCTATTCTAAACATATTTGCATCTGGATCATGCCAAAGTTTGATCGCTAGGAAGCACGAAGACAACTGTGTAAGGGGGAAGAAGTAGCCATAGGTTGCGAATGTCCGGTCGCGAATAACAGCATTGACGATTTTTTCAAGGACCTGCAATTCTCTGTACTTTGACATACCTGCGTACGGATTATTGGCCAATTTTAATTCGGAAAGTATGAATACAATGCATGGGACTACAACCACCAGACCGTGGTATCCTCCACCCCCGGCAAGGATGCCTATATTCGCAAACTCGATGAAAATGACGACAAGCTGCCCTGCAAAGTTTAAGTGTATGATCCCTGTCTCGCAAAAGAGGGCGCTTAGCAAGGGTGGTTTGCACGGCAGGAGGACCGCAAGAATAGTTACTAACGCAGGAACCATAAGGTATTCCAATTCTCCCATGTCCATGCAATAGTTGACACATTTCCAGACGAATTTTGTTTCCTCTGTGATCACATAATTTGCACCTAGAAACGATATGAATGAATTGTTAAACTCAATAATTTTGATTGTTTATCTGTAACCAACACATATGATTCAGAAGAGGAATTTGATCTCGATCGGGATAAAATTCCGCCCTGAGCAGCCAAGCGCCAATAAAGATGGACGTGATTCCATATCCTTCCGAAGTTTCGAGAAAGCTGATCGCTTGTGTTCGGGTACAATGCAACTGGAGTAGGATAATTAGGAATTGAAGAAGTATTGAAAGTCGAACGATATTGTGGTATCGCTTATTTCGAAGGATCAGTTTATTCTTATTTGAATCCCAGGTTGGGAAGACGCTAAGGAATGGGTCGCAATATCGGAGGTGCCTTTGAACTTTGCTTGCTAAAGGGGTTGGGGGAGTAGCATTTGGTTTATTTGGGATCATTGCATCAATAGCTCTCGCAGTGTGAGACATTTGTGGGATGGGAAAGCGAAAATAAATGAGATGTGAGGTTATTTTGGAACGCTTGGCAAAACGTCGATTTAATATGTAAATATTGAGAAAGTTATGTAGGTAGGTAATTCATGCATAACGCCTAATGTTAATTCGGTATTTTCGGTGGTGGTGGTAATATTGTAGCATTTATGCTTTAATATTACAAAACTAGTGGCAATTCCAGAGTTAGCTTTGGGCGTAGACGTTTAACGGATGTTTAATTAGGGTAAGTTTATTTATGCAAAATTATACAAACCTGTACTTGTTTCTCAAATTTAAAGCAGATTTCCTGCTTATTTACTTATCTACATAAAACACCGTTTTCTCGTCCATTGAACAAAATTGTCCAGCGAATAAATTTATACTATGATAGTCCTGTGATATATTTTAAGCTACGCATTTCATATTATCAGGCGATGTAAGCGGTGAAAATCATAAACATGTTTAGTACCATTTAATTTGTACACGTGCAGTTTGCTTAGATGAATCAGCAATTGTTTTTGTTCAATATTTCTTCCCCGTTGATTTTCATTTGACGATAAATAAATTATATAAATGCGACAGTACCATGATAAATTCTTAAATTGACTATTTGTAAAATTTATTTCGGAATTGAAACCCCAAAACCCTAAAAAAGTTTTTAAATTGAAAAATAAATGACGAAGAAGAAAGTTATTACAAACGCTGGTGTTGAATTTGTGGATGTAACATAAGGTATACATACATATAACACTAAAGTTGAGGAACCTTGGTCAAAGTAGAATGGATCCTATTTGAATTCATAAAATTGTAATTTTGTCGAATAATATGGTGGAAAACAATTACTCATCGTGATAAAAGTAGGAGCGAAGCTGTCTGTCGAACGCAGAATTCCTGAAGCACCAAAGGGGTCAACTGTTCTACAAAATTATTCCCAAATTGGATCCTCAAGGGTGCCAAAGACCTACCAACTCGCTTATCCAGAACCGATTTATTTCTTCTCTGATACATAGTAGAGGTGAGCCGGGCCTGGACTTTTCAAAGCCCGGCCAGCCCAAGCCCGGTTCAAAAGCCCGTCTCAAAAGCCCAGGCCCGCCCAGGCCCGGAAAAATTGAGCCCAGGCCCGCCCAAGCCCATTGGGCTTTTTATTAAAAAAGCCAGCTCAGGCCCAGGCCCACCGGGCTAAGCCCACTGGGCTTTTTTTAAGGCTAGGTTTACATGAATGATTATCAAAAATATCCATCATTCAAGATAGTTATTGAGGGGCACCCTAAAATTTATAAAATATAATTATTTAATAAGATGTACATAAATAAAAATTCAACTTCCTGAATTAAAACTGCAATTTTTAATTGATTACAGTACAATTTTCAAGCTGTGTAAAGGGTGTTAATAAAGTCCGATCCCATGAATTTTTTGGAGCGCGGTTGTTACAAATTCAGCTGGAACTTTTGAACCAGTGAAGTTATTTATTTCAAATTTTTACCATGGGAGGAACAACTAAACGTGTAAGTCATGAGCATCTTAGAGTTGAGATACCAACATTGCATCAGCAGGGGCTTAAACCTACAGAAATTGTGCAAAAATTGGGCTGCAGCCGCAGAACTGTTTGGAAATGGAAGAATAAAAATTTTGTCCACGACAAAAAGCGACCAGGGCGACCCAGAAAGGTGTCACCTACCACAAAAAGAATGATTAAAAACAGACTTTGCAAGAAAACCGGTAGTTCATTACGTAATTGAGCAAGGGAGTTAAATGACTCAAAACGCTATAAAGAGAAGAAGAAGCAAATTAACTGTGTGACCGTGCAAAAATTTGTGAAAACTACGAAGTGGGGTCACACAGCTTACAAACTAACCAAAAAAACCTCTCATGTCACAAAAATATATCGATGACCGTCTGAAATTTGAAGAACTCCTTCAGAAAAGTGCCCATTTGAGTGAAAAAAGACTTGGTGAAGAATTGCGCAGTCACATCCTTTGGACTGACGAATCTATTATTGAACTATATCCAAAATTGAACCAACAAAATGTTCGTTACAGGACAGAAAACAAATCGGATGTACCATCAAGAGCGATCCCAAAATTCGGGCTTAAAGTTATGGTAGCGGGTGGATTTTGTGCACGTTGCGTGACCCCTCTACATATCATACCAAAAGGCCAATCAGTCAATGCAAAGCATTATATGGAAAAAATATTACCTATCTATTTCGATAGCATGGGGAACAAGGAAATATTTCCGAATGAAAGAAAAATAGTTTTCATGCAGGATGGTGCTATAGCCCATACAGCAAAAGCGAGTTTGAGTCTCATCAAGACGCAAGTTTCAACGGTCTGGAGCAAGGGGGTGTGGGCCGCTAACGGCCCAGATTTGAATCCCCTGAAGAACCAGTGGTCCATACTTAAGGAAAATGTATACAAAGAGCCACAACCCCGGACGAGGGAAGAGCTAGTAAAAAAAAGTTCAAGATGTATGGAATTCGATTTCCAGAGGCACATTGGAAAAATTAGCACAGAGCCTTAAACAAAGAGTTGAGGGCATGGTTAAAGTAAATGGTAACAAGACCAAATACTAAGGTAAATATGTCGAACATTTTTTGTAAGTATCACGGGTAGTTTTTTTTTATACTAGCCTTCACTTTTTTACAGGAAAAATGGGATCGGACTTTATTAACACCCTTTAGTACCTGGGACTAATTTCAAGTTCCCTAAGTGTAAGATATGTTGAACATGTGCCAAGAAGTGATTGTCCTGATTTTAGCATTAACAATAAGGATGACATATACGTATGTATGTGTATATAAATATACATATTGTAATGATAACAGAAAGGAACAAGTAAATTTGTTGTGTAAGAAGATAACTGATGGGGTGAAAAAACATCAAGAACTTCATGCAGTTGTACTGGTGTGCTGCAATTTTGAATATAATCTCATTCACCCCCAACAAATATGAGACTGGGTTGTTTTGATTCGGGCTTGGGCTTTTCCTAAAAAGCCCAAG